ACGAACCATGAGAGACGATGGACTCTGAAAAACAAACTGAGGGTTCTAGAGGGGAGGGGGGTGGGAGGATGGGTTAGCCTGGTGATGGGTATTGAGGGGGGCACATTCTGCATGGAGCACTGGGTGTTATGCACAAACAATGAATCATGGAACACTACATCAAAAACTAATGATGTAATGTATGGGCATTAACATAAGAATAAAAAAAAAAGAAACATTTGCTCAAAATGTACGATAAGGAGATGAAGCGTACTGTACTTTCGAGCAGGCTGAATTTAATGAAAAAACACCTAATTAAAAAAAACACCTAAGGATAATCCTTACCTTGTAGTCATGAAGGAAAAAGCACCCTAGGTAATCTATGTAACCCAGACCATCCTATAATCTTTAATATAATTGCTTTTTTTATTTTTTATAAAATATAACGGGCTTGGATGTGTGTGTGTGTGTGTTTTGTTTCTTTGCTTTTTGAAGACACAAATGCTGATACTATCTCATTTCGACTTGGAAAAGAAATTATTTTTGTAAAGGAAGTTGCTACTTCAGGTGAGTCCTCTTGCAATCGTCAAACAGTCCCCAGCGTCCCGTGTGGAAGGTACGGGCGACACCGGCTTCAGAAGAGGAAGTACACAAAGCTCCTCACTTCCTTCCACAAGCCAGGCTGCACACACAACAAAGCACAAAGAACCTTTCCTAGTTTCACACTTATGTTTTTGATAACACACTCGGTGATTACAGTGCCTGGGTCCCCAAGGGACATACGATTTGTAAAAGAAATTCCCCATTTCTCTGCCATTTTTTAAGCTGAGATCTGCTTCAACAAAATCAGTCTCACTCACAAGGGGAAAAGGGAAGTTTTGAGTTTGATAACACTGTTTTGGAATACCATGATGAGGGATTGGTAAAACACACCAATTTTAAAATCTATACCTCCCAGTAAATGTGTAATCTAACCATCAGCTGTGATCAGGCACCTGCTTGGCATGAATGTCAGAGATGCGCAGGGCGCCTTCCAGCTAAGGCTGATTCTGCCTGACTCTTGGAGATGCAGCTAGCTGTAAATCTGTGTTTGGCCCCCCTCTTACCACTGCTGCCTCTGGGCCAAGAGGGTCCCAGTAGGGGCCCCCACATAGGTAATATGCATGATTAGGGATTAGGCTTAACTCCATTTCAAAAAAGGAGAGAGAATGCTCCAAGTAAAGACATGTGGGCCCTAAGAGAGGACTCCGGCTTGCATAGAGTTTCTGTGCAAACTGAGCGCCTCGAGGGGTCTAGGTTCCCAGCAGTCAGAGCCAGCGCAACCGGGGAGCAGCTACAAAAGATTCCAACGGAGATTTGCCCTCCTAGGATTGATAGCTGGAGGAAGCATGCACAACGAGATTTTTTATTTGGCTCAAACATGCAGCCTGCCCCTCAAGCATGTAACATCTTAGAGACCCTATTAAGACAAGGTGTAGGGGCGCCTGGGTGGCTCAGTTGGTTAAGCGACTGCCTTCGGCTCAGGTCATGATCCTGGAGTCCCTGGATCGAGTCCCGCATCGGGCTCCCAGCTCGGCGGAGAGCCTGCTTCTCCCTCTGACCCTCCTCCCTCTCATGCTCTCTGTCTCTCATTGTCTCTCTCGCAAATAAATAAAAAATCTTAAAAAAAAAAAAAAAAAAAAAAGACAAGGTGTACTAGGGGCACCTGAGTGGCTCAGTCGTTAAGCGTCTGCCTTCAGCTCAGGTCATGATCCCAGGGTCCTGGGATCGAGCCCCATATCGGGCTCCCTGCTCCGCGGGAGGCCTGCTTCTCCCTCTCCCACTCCCCCTGCTTGTGTTCCTGCTCTCGCTATCTCTCTCTCTGTTAAATAAAGTCTCTAAAAAAAAAAAGACAAGGTGTACTAGATTTTCTTCAGTACTTTGAGACACAGAGAAAAAAGAAAACATGAAATCAAAGAATTTCTTGGAGGAAAAACAGATCAGGAGCCTTACTGGTTGTTATGGACTGAACTGCATCCACTAAAAATTCCTACCTTGAGCCCTAAGCCCTGATGTGACCATACTGGAGAAGGGGCCTCGTAGGAAGTGATTAAGGTTAGATGAGGTCATAAGGGTGGGACTCTGATCCAATAGGACTGGGTCTCCCATAGAAATGTGTGCACACAGAGGAAAGGCCATGTGCAGACAGAACAAGAAGGAGGCATCTGCAAGGCAAGCAGAGAGCCCTCAGGAGAAACCAACCCTGCCAACACCTGGGTCTCAGACTTCCAACCTCCAGAGTCATAAGAAATACATTTCTGTCAATTAATCACCCAGTCTGTGATATTTTGTTACAGCAACCAGGGTGGACTAATACACTGGTGCTTTTAACCAGATCAGCTGGTTCAAAAAGGAGAAAAGGCAATGGATCCTAAGCTTCCTGGCCTCAAACACTGGGAATTAAGATCAAAGAATTTACGTCATCCCTAAACGAGACAAGTAAGTGAGGTGGAGCAGATGAGACTGCTACCGGTCAGAAACCTAACTTCTCTTTGGGGTTTCTCTTGAGAAAACTGAAACACGTATCTACCAACAAAAGAGAGACTGAAGTCCTTGCTCCTCAAAGAATGGTACCTGGACCAGCAGCACCATCACCTGGGAACTCAGAAATGCACATTCTCAGGCCCACCCCACACCTGCTGAAGCAATGAGCTGGGTCATGTTTGGCTCAGTGATCTGTGTTCTAACGAGCCCTTCCAGACACTCAGATTCCTGTTCAAGCTTAAGAAACTCTGGTCTTGCTCTCTCGGGTCTCGCTACCAAGATGACCAAGAAAAGAAGGAATAATGGTCGTGCCAAAAAGGGCCGCGGCCACGTGCAGCCTATTCGCTGCACCAACTGCGCCCGTTGTGTGCCCAAGGATAAGGCCATTAAGAAGTTCGTTATTCGGAACATTATAGAGGCCGCCGCCGTCAAGGACATTTCCGAAGCGAGTGTCTTCGACGCCTATGTGCTTCCCAAGCTGTATGTGAAACTACATTATTGTGTGAGTTGTGCCATTCACAGCAAGGTAGTCAGGAATCGCTCTCGTGAAGCACGGAAGGACCGAACACCCCCACCCCGATTTAGACCTGCGGGTGCTGCCCCACGACCTCCACCAAAGCCCATGTAAGGAGCTAAGTCCTTAAGGACTGAAGAAAAGCTGTTCTCCAGAAAAAAAATAAATGGCGATTACACATCAAAAAAAAAAAGAAAAGAAAAGAAACTCTGGTCTTGTTAATGCCCAGAACTCACCTTCTCTAACATGCACTGTCTAGCGTTTCCCATGTACAACTACTTTTACATGACAGTCCCATTTAACGCTCAACGCCATGGGTATATGATGTTACTAACCCTACTGTACAGATGAGAAAACTGAGGCCCAGAAAAGCCAAGGTCAAACAGCTTGTAAAGTGGAAGGGTGAAAACTGGACCCTAGGGCCTGATGCCTCTAAAGCCCCTTGCAGCTTCCTCCTTGGCAAAGCCAGTCCACTTTCCCTCGGAACATTGCTACCCCCCAGCGAATCTCATGGCAGAAAATCATTTACACATCTCTTCCTACCACCGTCCTATCAGGGTTACTCTTTGGAGTCAGAGAACCTGGAGTCAGGATCCTGCCTCTGCCACTTTCTTGTAACCTTTGAGCCTTGAGAAGGATGCTGTATGTTCTGGGTTGAATTTTGTATCCCCCTCTCCAACCTCAAAATTCACATGTTGAAGTCCTAAGCTTCAATATCTCAGAATGTGACCTTATTTGGACATAGGGTTTTTGCAGAGGTAATCAAGTTAAAGTGGGGTTAATGGCGGGGGGGGGGGCCTAATCCAATGAGATTAGTAAAACTATGGACTCAGCACACATACAGGGAGATCACATGAGCATGAAGAGGACCAGATACAAGCCCAGGAGAGGCCTGTAACAGACCTTTCCCTCACAGCCCTCAGAAGGAGCCAACCCTGCCGACACCTCAATTTTGGACTCCTAGCCTCCAGAACTGTGAGGCAATAAATTTCTGTTCTTTAAGCCCTAGTCTGTGGTACTTTGTTACAGCAGCCCCAGGAAATTAATATACTTAACTTCTATGAGCCCAAGTTTCTTCATCTGTAAAAGGGGCCTATTAAGAGGTACTCCTTCAGGGTTGCAGGAATGTCAAATGAGATAGCTATCAGAGTTCTTGGCAAGTCACAAGCTCTCAATACATTAGGCTTATTATTGCAACAATATTAGCTAAAACACCCTCCATATGATTTATATCTCAAATTTTCCTATAAAAATCTAAAAATCTGTACAGGAGACTAAATAGAATAAATGATTCTTAATGTCTCTAGTACCTATTCAACAATCAATCACTGGTGCCCCCAATTCTTTCCAAAAAAGTATTTAGAACAGTCTATTATAAACACCCACGTACAACACAGCAATTAAAATAACCTGAAAATCGGTGGTTTCCAGGGACAAGGGGTGCGGGGTGGTAGAATAATAAATTGCCTGGGGCAAGGAAGCAAAAGAAAAATTTCTGTGGAGATGTAAATGTTCTCTATCTTAACTGGGTGGTGGGTTACCTGAGTGTACACATTTGTCAAAAATCATATGTACAATTAAAATGAATGAGCTTATGTGAAACTTCCAAAAAGTTTATTTTAAGTGAATGTGTATGCCCATATTAAGAAAAAATAAATAAATGATTTACTAGGAATGTAGAGTAAGCTGGCTACTTATATGAGCATTCAAATGTTAGCTCTGAGCTTCCTGGCAACCAAGGCAAAGAAAGGAAAGGGAATACTTTATAACGCCCTCCTTATTAAATGAGAAAAAGCATACCAAGGTTTTAGGAGAGATGAGCTTTGTTCTCTTAACAACTCTTAAAATTTTTTTTTTTTTTTTATTTACAACTCTTAAATTTTGCCAGAGGAATCCTTATACGAGAAACATGTGTTAATAGAATTAACCTGTGGTTTGCAAACTTTTTCTGTGAAGCACCCAGTAGTCAGTATTTTGGACTTCGCAGACTATATGGTCTCTGTTATAACTACTCAATTCTGCTATGTTAAAAAAATATGAGTGCTGCCTTGTCTTTGCCCCCTGCTCAAAATAAAGCTGTTACCTTTCTAGCCCTGTCCGCCATGGTGCTTAGCAGCCAGGGATGCATGATCTCAGACATGTTTACCAAGTAAAACACTGACTTGAGGGGCGCCTGGGTGGCTCAGTCATTAAGCGTCTGCCTTCGGCTCAGGTCATGATCCAGAGGTCCTGGGATCGAGCCCCGCATCGGGCTCCCTGCTCAGCGGGGAGTCTACTTCTCCCTCTCCCACTCCCCCTGCTTGTATTCCCTCTCTCGCTGTGTCTCTCTCTGTCAAATAAATAAATAAAATCTTTTAAAAAAAATATGAAAGCAACCATAGATAATACGTAAATGAGTGGGCATCACTGTGTTCCAATAAAACTTTATTTACAAAAATAGGCAAGAGAGGTCTGGATTTGATCCATGTGCCATAGTTTGCTGATCCCTAGAAGAGAGAGTGCACTTTTAACATTCAATTCTAAGCTGACCTGAAGCCAAACAGGAACAAAGCATGGGAGGACAGGAAGGCGACCTCAACCTATAAATTTTTTAGAACCCATGTGGATAACAACCACAGAAAATTTTAGGTAGTTTACAAGATCCTATGAAAGTCATCTGCTAAAGAGAATCTCACTAAGACATACATAAAACAAAATTTTTAAGTATTCAATTTGCATCAAAATCTTATTATACTGCTTCACTCTGAATTTCATTCAAATTCAACTTACTCTAACTGCATTGGCTTTCTACTGCAGTGTTGGATATTTAACTATAAACTACATCCTGCCTCTCCCTTTGTGTGTAAAATTGACAAATGTGTTGTTTTTGGATTCCAGAATTCTGGAGAAAGCCAACTTAAATGAATTAAGATGACTAATGTGTTGATTCTGTTTCCAATCCAACAAAATGTTAATGTAAGAACCATGTCATATGATGCTATGTGTTTTAGTTCAAATTTAACATCAAATATTGAATAAGGCAGTTTCTAAGTAAATTACTAAGCTAAAAATATTCCTTCTGCATAGCAAGAACTCCATCTTGTTTAAAATAAATGGAAATTTGAACATCTTTGCTCAGATCAGCCTAAATAAGAAATTAGAAAAATGCAAACCTCCATTATAGTCAACAGTATTGATTCCATCTTTCTGGAGAAAGAAGCACAATATTGTAGATATCAAAGAAAAGGATTCATTTAAATCGTGACTTCAGGCCAAGTCCTACATGGAGCAAACGCTCAGAAAGAAACAGTGCTTTTCCAGGGCACCAGGTAAGTAATCACATCCAAGGTGAGTAATCACCAAGACACCGTGGACACAGTCGTGAGACTGACAACCCAGGTGTCTCCGAACATCCAGTTACTACAGGGTACCTGGCATTCCTAGTTCTTTTGCAGCATGAGAATGTTTATACAAATGTTTTCATTGCGCTTACTGAACATGTGGTGGAGGAGCTCCCGTGGCTATAACACACCACCACACAGTTTTGTTGTAAGTAAACTAACATTAGTTTTTCGTCACGTAATATTTGAGTAATTTCTATATCCACAGAAGCAGTAACTATGACACCTTTAAGAGCCGTTGGAAGTATTGCAAAGCCTGAATATAATTCCATAAACATTTACCACGTACCTTCCATGAATAAGACATTAAACATCATGTCTTAGATAGCCCGCTAATTCTAATGCCAAATCTTTCTGGTTTCCTTAAATTAATTACACCTACTGACCACCGAAAGGGGAATTTTGATAACTGTGAAAATCAAATCTACTAAGAGATTATTTAAAAAGAGAAATCAATAATTAGGGGGTCCCAGCTTTCAAAAAAAAAGAAAGAAAAATTTAAAATTTTAAAAGGAAGAATTTAGAAATCCAGGGTCTAGAAATGGAAACTACATAGAATATATGTATTTTGCCCCCTAGATTTTAGATTCAACTATGATAGCCTGTCAGTAACTGAATTTTTTTTCATTACCTGCCAGTTCCTTAGGAAATTTCCATTGTTTAGCACAGGGTAATTCTGAAAACAATAATTCTTTATTAATTGCGTGCTGAAAAATTTCTACCAGAAAAGTAACCAATACAATAAAAAGTTAACAAAAACATCTCTAGGCATATCTTATCTCTAGTTCTATTCAATTCAGTGATTTTTTTTATAGAAATAAAAGGACTCTCCAAAGCAAGTCTCCATTTAACTGCTACTGACAGTTTAAGTGCCTTAAAAGTATCAGGATTTCTTAATTCAGTGTCCATCTCTTCCCCTCAAAATTACACACAAGTGCCCAGCTATGAATATATTTGCTTTCCCGCTGTGAAAAGGGGCCAGAGATTCCAGGACATTTTCAAAGGAGTACAGAGGCCTAGAATTTATTCTTTTTTTTTTTTAAGCAGAAAACTGTGAAAACATTGTGTTTGTTCCTCTGAAAGGTAAACAGAAAGAAGTATTGTGTACTTAACAAAATAGAGTCCAGAACAAGTCCATCCGTGCAATCATCCCCTTGTCCCCAGCATCAGAAGGGGACCTTAACCATTAGGAGTCTAAAATTGCCTCTGCAGCATCCTTGGTAAGCAGCTGCGTACACACCTTTGTGGCCGGGAACTCATTTGCTCCAGGCACCCTGTTCTGTTATTGGAAAGCAGGCAATCCCCCAACCTGGTTCCTAATAGGTAATAAAAACAAGACAAAAGAGCAATTACTTGTGAAAATCAGTCACCATAAGAAAGCAAGCTCCACAGGGCCAGGGGCGGGGGGGGCATATTTTGCTCACTGCTGTATCCCCAGACCCTAGAACAGAGCTGGGTACACGGTACGCACTCGAAAAGTATCTGTTAAAAGAATGAGCTGTTGAAGGTCTGCTATGCGCTGGGCAGCATCAATACTAGAAAGCAAGACCTCTTCTATAGCACGGTTCTTAATGGGCTGAATTGTGTCACTCCACAAAATAAATGTTGAAGTCCTAACCCCCAGAACCTCAGAATGTGACCTTATTTGGAAACAGGGCCTCTCTGGAAGGTAATCAAGTCAAAATGAGATCATTAGTGTGGGCTCTAGTCCAATATGCCCGGTGCCCCTGTAGAAAGGGGAACTTGGACAGGGAGACAGACACACAGAGGGGAGATGTAAAGGGATACAAGGAACACACCAAGGGAGCAGGAAAAAGACAGTGGAAT